TATATTTTTAAGCAAATCACTCCGCATGTTTATTTGCAATTTACCTTTCTTTAACATGGTGGAGATCCAAGATAACATTAAAAGTATTAACTTGAATTTCATACTATGATTCCTAAATATTTTCTCTCCATTTGTGTAGATGGTCAGCACTGACTTTTATCATTACTTGGGGAGAAGGGAAGCTGTATGGCTCAGACTACTGGTAAAAGTCTGCTCTCGAGACTGGGAAGGGTAAAAGGGTGATAAGAAAGATGATACTGCCAAAACCGGTTTGGCTCAGTGGTAGAGCGTCAGTCTGTGGACTGAAAGGTTCCATGTTCGATTCCGGTCAAGCACATGTACCTTGGTTGCGGGCACATCCCTAGGATGTGCAAGAGGCAGCTGGTCAGTATTTCTCTCTCATCGATGTTTCTAGCTCTCTATCCCTCTCCCTTCCTCTCTGCAAAAAATCAATAAAATATAGAAAGAAAGAAAGAAAGAAAGAAAGAAAGAAAGAAAGAAAGAAAGAAAGAAAGAAAGAAAGAAAGAAAGAAAGGTGATACCTTCTTGAAGGTCCACATTCAGCATAGATCCTCAGAGGGCATGGATTGACTCGTGGGGGGCAGGGGGGGTCCCTAACTCAGCTTAAAAATATAACAACAACAAAAACCTCGTTCTGTGTCTCATGGGGTAGGTAAGGGTATTGGGTAGGATAATTGATCTTTGGTCCCAAGAGAGTTGGAAAACGAAAGAACCTTTCAACTCCTGGCCTCACTGAGACCTGCAGGAGGAGAATAAGCCCAAGTCAGAAAAGAACCCTGAGTCATTACACAAGCGCAGAAGGCCCACTGTGTCACCTTCTCTGACTGCTGAGACTCCGGCCTCATCACCAATGTTCTTGTTGGGCCTCATCACCAATGTTCCTGTTTCTATGACCAGAGTACCCTCCCAGACCCTCTATGCCCATTTGTCTCATTAGGCCCTACTAATGGCCAGCCATGGGCCATCAGACCTGATAGGGAACCAAGGCTCCCACTAAGTCCGTAGCTGACATTCTACCTGCAGTGGGGACTAGGCTCCAACACCTTCTGAGAGCCAAGAGGACCAAACCCACTGGGACATCTGTGTCACTATAGAATAGTAGGTGCAAATCATTTTTTAAAATATACTTTATTGATTTTTACAGAGAGGAAGGGAGAGGGATAGAGAGTTAGAAACATCGATCAGCTGCCTCCTACACACCTCCCACTGCGTTTGTGCCCACAACCAAGGTACATGCTCATAACTGGAATCGAACCTGGGACCTTTCAGTCCCCAGGCCGACACTCTATCCACAGGGACAAACCAGACATCTCACAGGATATTTTTTGCTTCCTGACATGCTGAGAGATGAACATTACATACCATGTTATGAACAGACCAGTGCAAAGTCTTGGGAATACAACATGTTTATTCAGGCCCATGAAATATATTCAGGCCCACTGGTATAGTCACAAACTGTGTTCCTTTAAAGCAGAGATTCTCAACCCATGGGTTGCGCCAGGTGGGTCACAACAGGTTGAGAACCACTATCAGGGTTGAGAATCGCTAAGACCATCGGAAAATACAGATGTTTGCATTACTATTCATTAACAGTAGCAAAATTACAGTTATGAAGTAGCAATGAAAATAATTTTATGGTTGAAGGTCACCACAACATGAGGAACTGTATTAAAGGGTCGTGGCATTAGGAAAGTTGAGAACCACTGCTTTAAAGAGTAATTTTAGCATTCCTTCACTCCTGTATTCATTCATGTAGTGACTCATTTGTTAATTCATTCAACAACACTGAACGCCGATTCTAACCAGGCAGCTTCACAGAAAATAAGGAAAAATATTGAATCATATCCTATTTAATACATTCCCACAAAAACTGCAAATTGTCTCTAATATATCACTTACTGCTAAGTCAAACATTTCTATTAAGTTTTAAAAAATCAAAATAAAGATGGCATGCCATAGAACTTAATGTTGAGGAATTAGCAATTAGTCTGGCATTGAAGTTTTTATAGATTATGTGACATTTTGACATTTATATAATTGCCATGATACTTTTATGTGGCATCAGTTACACTGTAATAGGCTCATGGCATGCAATGACTTTGAAAGTAAAGAACAGAAACTATTGGGTAACCTTATCTTGTTAAAATCCTTGATCCACATAACTACCTATTACTGGTTAAATTTTGGAATCTGTGGTCTTGATGTAGAAATGCTTGGATTAAATAACACTAATGTGTGATTGCATGAAGATAAACCATATAGCTTAGTTCAATTGCAGCATAATTGTTATCACTAAATGTAAATTGATACCAATTAAACCTTCCTTTAGAGCACCACAAATTAAGATGTAACTACTGGAAAAATTCTAGAATGCAATGTTATAGTATACAATGGGTAGAATATCCATGGATATTTCAGAGGTTTAATGACATTTATAAAATTGAAAACATCTTTCTCCTTTATTGCAGGCATTAATTGTGCCTTATCCAGGAAAGTTTCAAAGAAACACCCATTCACTTCTTTAAATATATATGTCAATGAGTTCAGCCTTTAAAATGCTGACAAAAAAGACAATTTCTTGTGTTCATAGAGAATAAATATTTTAGTTGGGCCTCATCTAAAATATTTGGGTGGAATTTGGGACAAGGAAAGATCTGATATTAATGTTAATTCCAATTCTTAAATTACAAAATTTTGTTCATCAGAAACAGTTGGGTTTGTATCATTCTACATAATAAAATAGTAGCAATTAAAATACTTATGTATTACAGCATAAAAATACCTTCCTCCTTCCTCATTCATCCCTCATATGTACTGTGTTGATTGTTTATCTGCCTATTGCAAGGCATTTAATAAAATGAGAGCCTCAATTTTCTCTTTAGGAAATCATGGTAATAATAGCTACACAAAGGATTATAGTAAGGATTAAATGAAGGCATCATCAGTGATTCAATACAGTACTTTATATTAAATCAACATTAATAAACATGCTTCCTCTCTCTTCCACATCCTCCCTCCCCACAATTTCACATCTTTTATGCTTCTTTTATGAATATTTGCACCAGAACTGATGATTTAGGCACAAGGTCTAAAATATATGACACAGCCGAAACCGGTTTGGCTCAGTGGATAGAGCGTCGGCTTGCAGACTAAAAGGTCCCAGGTTTGATTCTGGTCAAGGGCATGTACCTTGTTGGTTGCAGGCACAGCCCCAGTAGGGGGTGTGCAAGAGGCAGCTGATTGATGATTCCCTCTCATTGATGTTTCTAACTCTCTATCCCTCACTCTTCCTCTCTGTGAAAAATCAATAAAATATATTTTTTAAAAGAAAAAAAATATATGACACAGTGAAAATTTAATCAAACTTATAATTTTGACATAGAGCTCTCATATGTTTTTCAGAGGAGAGAGACGCATTGTAAAGAGGAAGATTCGGCTAAGTAATGATAGAACTTCTAGAGCTGGCGAATTTTGTTTGTGTTTTTAGCCGAACTTGAGCTATTTCAGAGAAACAATCCGCGGATTAATCAAACCTTTCCTTCACATCCCCCCAGTCTGCAACCTCCACGTGCCTCTGTGTGACCAGGTCTCAATTCCAGATGTTCCAAGTAGCTCTTCATTTCATCATGTCTTCTGACAGCACCTAAGCAAATATATCAAACGTTGTACAACATTTAGCAAGTGCAACTTGAAGATTTTCTTTCTGTTAGACAAATAGACGCCATCTGGAAAAAATAACCCCAGGCTCTTGGACACAGGAGCATGGAGCCTATTGGCTGAACACCCAATGAATACCTTACACTACTTTCTTTGGCTCCTACCCTCTGCCTGCTCATTTCAAATCTTGCACACTTCAGCAGGCGCTGTGCTGGGAAACAAACGAGTCCTTGTTACCCATGCACTCAAACACTGCGAAGACTCGCTTAATTTGAAAGACAGGCTTTGCGAAAATTATCTGGGCCAAAATTGTTTCCTTTCATACCAGGATACCTGCTCAGTATCACTGTGTCTTGACGTTAATTGATAGCAATATTTTATTATTCGGTTCTTTCTCAGATTTTCAGTATTTGCCATGTCCCATTTTTTACACAGGGGTTTTCTTCATGTAATCTTTCCTTCCCTCTTTGCTCCCTCCCTTCCTCTTTTATCTTAAAGTTACTTTCTATATGAAAAAGTCCTACCTGTGCTGTTATTTCACTGATTGACTTTTATTTCTAAACTAGTATTATAAAAAATGTGTGTTAATTTCGCCTTTCAGAATTGGCTGAGCTGAATTGAAGTGACTGCAACATTATTGATGAAAACTAAACACTAACTTTTATAAAATAAATAAATTGAAGAGTCAGACACGGAAAGAGCTATCTTCATTTTTACTTTGATGATATCATTTTTGTGATAAAAATCGTTTTTAGTGAAATTTTTTTTTCACATCTCAAACTTTCTTATGCAATCAGACTTATGCCATATTGCTTAAGTTGTTCCCTTACTAATTACTTGCCTTTCGCCAGTTGTGAGCATGTAGCTTTTCAAAACCCAAAAGCAAATTGCCCCAGAACTTCTGGAATTCATTTTATTACATCTCATGATCTGAGCAGTAGGGAGTCCTGTGAAACATGTTGGATCAAACATTAACTTTATAAATTGCCTTCCTTCCCCACAATTCTTATGAAAAAGGTATTAAGCTAGATTAAAACTCTGGAAAAATTTAATGGGACTTTTGAAATCTGTTTGTGTTCAGTTTCCTGAAAAATAAAACTGCCGAATGGAAGCACTCCTTGCATGAGAAGTGGCTGCGCCTTTAAGGCAATTTTCTTCCATGCATAATAGTGAAATTGCAGCAGGATAATCTGGGTGTTTGAAATGTCTTTGCCAAATCCATAATGTTGCCAGTAATAATATCTGAAGGGGGTGTGTGGGTTTGTTCATAATGAGAAAAAGGAAGCAGTGATTGGCAGGAATATCTCCTTGTGTCTTTGCAGTCCTACCCTGGTCCGAGCCTGGAAAGTGAGGACTTCAACATCCCCCCAATCACTCCTCCTTCCCTCCCTGACCACTCGCTGGTGCACCTGAATGAAGTTGAAACCGGCTACCACTCTCTGTGTCACCCGATGAACCACAATGGCCTGCTACCATTTCACCCACAAAACATGGACCTACCTGAAATCACCGTGTCCAACATGCTGGGACAGGACGCAGCACTGCTTACCAACTCCATTTCCGTGGTAAGACTCTCTTAACCCATTTGCGGTGAGGCACAAGGTCACATGGGGGGGGGGGGGGGAGCAAGGTGGAATTTAATGCCAGAAGCTCTGCACTGTAATAACGCGGCATTCTGAAACTAGAAATAGGCTTAAAGCTACAGAAGATATTCTCCAGCGGTCCTGTAAAATCCTGAAGCACTTTTCCGTTTTATATTTAAGTCTAGGCAAAATCAATTTATGGCATGTTTGATTATGCATTATTTATAACCCAAAGTACTAAATATTATACTCGTGGACACTGACTGTTCTCTTAAAAAGTCTAATAATCTTACTGGCTTTCCGATGAAAAGTTATCTTAAAAGGTACTACCTCTCATCCAGTGCGGGATTCCTCCCCACAAGCAAGATTTCCCATCTGAACAGGAACCACTATTAAACTTGCTTTCCACCCTATTTCCACTCTCAGATTCCACAAATTTACATAATAAGGAAGCAACAAAGGTATTTTCATTTTGGAGGTATAATTTCTACAATCAAAATGTATCCTCAATAAGGTGTTTTAGTGTATTGGACCTGTCGGATTCAGAATCTTCTGATGTTCTGTGTTCCTCAAATTTAGTGGGAATGCGTTTGTTTCATCAAGCAAACTAGTACAGATTAACTTCCCAGAGTCCAGGAATCTATATTTTTGATGAACATCCCTGATTTATCATGTAATCTTTCCTTCTGATTTTTATGGCATCCAAAACTTAATTTCTCTGTGTCACAAGTGCTGAAACATCTTTCCAGTGGCATATGGCTGAGGGCAGAGCTTTTTACCACATCATAAAACTCTCTCCAGGATTAGCAATGACTTTGAGTTAGTGTTCTTTCACTTCCGTTCTTCAATCACTTTAACAGTCTAACTAACTCTATTGTATTTTTGCAAATCGCTGAACAATGCTGTCATATTCACAATGAACTCATTTATTAACTTCTTCATATTATGTTGTTTATGATTTTTTTAAAAAATGTTTCATATGATCACTTACCTAAGCCATTTGGAGATATGGCAACTTGAATGATTTCACAGGAAGGTTTTCCTGTGTGTGAAGTAGAGTTGAAAGAAACCCCACAGTGGTGTTTTTAGGGAATGGAGGCTGGAGCCTAATGCCATAACAGTGTAAGATTTTTAAGGCCTGGCAGGTAGCTGATTGGCCAAGAGGGAGAACCCATCCACAGTACTAGCAGAGGTGGAAAACTCAGCACTACTGTCCCAGTGTTTCATGTTATATTTGTCTGTCTAGACTTATCTTGAGACTATTAACTGTGTCTCCATAAAGTAGAGAATGGATTTTTAACAAACACACTAAATGTGTCAATCTGAATAATGTACTTCAAGACGGTCACCTTGAACAATCACAGGCTGCTCTTTGGGGCTAAGTCTTCAGACCCAGTTCATGAGTCAGTAGGCACCACAATCACCGAAGAGAGGAAGAGCACATAGAGTGCATAAAATACCAGTTTTGTCCACTATAATCCTTCCTCTTAGTGCTAATGAACTTGGCCGTAAGAGGGATATTGAGATATTCAAACATATAATTTAAATACTCAAACTTTTCCTTTCTATCACTTACTTACTTAGCATTCCTAGGACCTTCTCCATATGCTGTTTAATCTTTAAGAGATGCTTGCATAACGTTAGTGAACATGCATCTGGGATTATCCCAGATTTGCCGTCCTTGGCAATTCTCAAATGGTGCTCAGGACTGGACCCGGTCACACCTGTAAGCACAGCACTTTCCAGACCCTCCCTCCACTGTGCTTTCCTCATAACCTCTCAGGAGCTTCAGCTCATTCAACGTTTCTTTATGCCATCCCCATCCAACTGAATGCTCCAAACCGAGCTTCAGTATTTCCCCGTAGGCATGGTATTTCCCTTGGAACATTTAACATAAGGCAGAGGGGCCCTGATTGGCCTACACTAAGGGGATGGAGCTCTAACCTGCTATTCTAGTTCTTGGCCAGAAGAACCTACCTAGCAAGGTCTGTGAGCCTTCCCAATACCTCTCAAACCACATTGTGGCTGGGCATCTACTTTGCCTACTCATAGATTCGGTCCTACCACTTTATAGTATAAGTACAAAGCTACTCCAATCTATTTCACGTCTTGGTAAGAGTTCAGATAGGCTTCAGCACTGTCCAGTAGAGCTTTCTGTGCTAATGGCTTTTCCATTATCCATACCGTCCAATAACAGTAGCCACTGGCTACTGAGTGTTCTAAATGTGGCTAGTGTGTGAATGAAAGGCTAATTTTTATTTTATTGTATTTTAATCATTTTAAAGTAGCCCCATATTCCTTATAAAACTACTATATTGAACAGCATACATCTAGTTTATAATGTTGATTCTAACATTAAATTGTCATTAAATCCATTTTTTTAAGCCACAGTGGTCTTAAAGAAAGATTTGGAGTTTAAACCGATTGTAAACATCCTGTTTCAGGGCTTTGATCTCTGGCTGGATTCCAGACGCCAGAGTTTGATACACTATACAGTTGCCATAGAATTCTAGTAAAGTTGGAAGAGTCAACTTGATTGGCGTTTACTGATTCATTTGAGAAATAAGGAGCTTTTTCCCTTCTTATTTTGAGCTGTCATGTATCCAGAATGACATCCATTGGTGTACATTTTAAGTCTTATCATGATCTAAATGTTTGAAAAGGTTCAAGTGACTGATAAGGCATGGTTCTTAGGAGCTTGTGAACTACAGAAAAAAATATACATGAATAGGTAGGAAACAATTAGAGTGAGACCTGAAATAATCAGAGAGAGACAAGCAAAGTGCTCAATTCACTTTTCCTGGACTCAAACCCCCCAGGAATGTCTAGTTGGAGGAGATTACAGTAATCTGGTTTGGGAGTTGACAAAACTTAGTTGGAAAAGGTAGGACTGTAATCAGGGTTTGAACTATGGTCATGATTTGGACATGTAAAGAGGATAGAAAACACATATTGGAAAGCAGTTTAGATATTTTCAGTTGGGAAATTTGACCAAAGACTTCAAAAATCAATCAAAGGTCTGTGGGCTTGATAAGATGGATTCTAAAAACTCACTGGCTGTTTTCACTCAAAGCAATGTTGTGGGGAAACATTTTTGGCGCCTCCCTGGATGGATAGCCATGGTAAGAAACTGCAGGTGTGGGAAGTCTGAGGAGCCAGTTGTCATAGCCAAGGCCAGAGGTGTTGAGGAGGTGTGCAGGGTGGTGACAGTGTGAAAAGAGAGATGGGCTGCTAAGCTGTTTTCACATCATTCCCAACCATAAATGGATCTAAAGATGAACAACCTTTCATACCGTCATATTTTACACTTAAAAAGCTCCAAGGGATTATTTTCTCTGAAAAGAAACTTAGGGCTATAAAATGTTCTCTTCACACTTCTTTGTACAAATCTGGCTAAAACTCTTTCTGTAGCAATTTGTTCATTGCTAACGTAATCACAGAACTTAACAACCAACTATTGATCAGTTTGCCATTGATGGAAATGTATTTAGGTCAGTGCTCATAGAGACAAGGAAATAATGGCAACAGAAATCAGGATGCAAATGCTCCCCACCTAGAAATTACAGTGCTTTTCCTGGGTCCCTTTCCCAAGGCCACCTACAAAATGAGGACAATGAAGAAAGCTAACTCCTGCAGATCCAATTAATATACTTGCTGTAAGTTTTAAAATCCAGTAAGTATAAACCACCTTAGGCAGAGATGCATACACACACACACATACACACACACATACACACACACACACACACACACACACACACACACACACAGGATCAACTCATTCCAATGTTATTTTCCAAAAGCTCATCAGTGTTATCAAATCTGAACTATTTGCTGTTAGTATGGTGCTTGCATCTTTGTGTTTGTCTTTTACACAGGTGGGTCAAGTATTGTAGTGCTCACTTAGATATTCTATATATTTTAGAGGTTATTATAATGCTTAACATATATGCATCGTTGTATGCCCTATATGTTATTACTTTTATAATGTAATTATATATAATATCTTTTCTGTGATTTTATTTTAAAGATAAATTATTATGGATAATGTTTTCTTCTGAGATTTTATTTTGAAGATAAATTTTCTTGCCCTCGCCCTCAGTGGCAATATAAGTGATTCTATTTCACTTAGTTTAAGCATTTTCTACAAATGTTTAATATATTAGACATAAAAACGCATTCCATGTGAGAAATCAATATCTGAATGAGTATTATTACCCCTGTTTCACAAATGGAAGATGGAGGAGCACAGTGATTAAGTGACATGCTCAGTGGTTCAGCCAGCAAATACCCCAGCTCCCTTGTCTGAAACAAGGATAATAATAGTCCTTACCTCGTGGGGGTAAATGAGCCAGAATTGCTTAGACTTGTAATTGGCACATAGGAAATATTACATAAGTCTGTTAAATAAAATATGAAAGGCAAGCTTGCATGACTCTTTTAGAGAAGTTAAAATGCATGAGAGGGAAGATTTTCCAAAAGAGTTATTTATACTTTAATCCTCAATCTTCTTCAGACTTATCAAAAAAAATAAATAGAGAGAGAGAGAGAAAGAGAGAGAGAGAGAGAGAGAGAGAGAGAGAGAGAGAGAGAGAGAGAGAGAGAGAGAGAGAGAAATGAGCCTGCTGTTAACCAAAGAAGCCTCTCTACATTTTACTGAGTGTCTTTATATATCATTATTATTAAAATTGACATCTTTGGGTCAGAGTGCCTCAGTTCAAATCCTGCTACTGTCATGTACCAGCTGTGTGACATTCAGCAATTTATATAACCTTCCCATGCCTCAATTTCCTCCTCTATAAAATTGGTATAATAAGATATTTAATCCCACAACATTGTGAGCATTAAATTAGTTCCTGTCTATAAAAGAGTGCCTGACTTACACTTGGTGCTCGATACAGGTCACCATGGTAGACTACCTAGGTTGCCTTGTAAACTTTACCATAAGCATGTACAGAGTGCAGCATCCAGAGAGTGCTCTT